CTCTCTCTCTCTCTCTCTCTCTCTCTCTCTCTCTCTCTCTCTCTCTCTCTCTCGGTCTTCTTCTTCGTCGTGGTCTTCTCTGCAGGTGCGCGGCGACTTCTCCAACCAGGTCCGCTGTGGCGGACTTCTTCTTCTGGGGGCCACCTCAACTATGGCGCATCAGGCCCTGCACACGACGGCGCGCATGGAATAGCGGGTACCAGCTCCGATACCAATGCAATCAGACTCACTTTCATTCACACTTTTCATGCATGTTATCAGTAGCGCAGCAAACTGGCGACATGTGCCCACTCAAAACTCAGAGATATGGCATCCAGATACGAGTTCACTTTCAATTGGCTATGGCGACTCAGCGCCCAAACAACTCACTGTTCACATACACCGGATCACCGTTGATATCCCACACGCAACTCTCTGAACTCACACACACACACACTCGCTACACACTAACTCTAGCTGTGGCGGCTCTGGCCGCAACTACCCTATCGCTATGCTACGCTCCTTCTCTCTCGCCCACTTCAGCTCCGGGCTCATTGCAGACCTCCTTGCACAAGTCGCTGTGGCAAATGGCTGGGCGCTGCCTCTTGATTTATACTTCTGAAACTCGTTGGTCTGCCCTCTTCCATCGGCCCATGGTGCGCACAGTCCCTTGTGGTACTTGCTGGACCGAACTGGGACTGACTGGACCTTACCGAGTGCGGACTCACTGCTAACCTAACACCCTGGTACTGCAATTGCACTGCAGTTTAGTCCACCACTCGACTCACCACTTGCCCACTTGCCCACTTGCTGACCTTCTAGAAGGCCACAGCTAGGACTTGTAGACTTCACTAAGACTTCTATTCGACAGACCTACAGATCGAACCCCCACAACCTACGACAGCCTATCAACTGTTACAAATACACAGGTCGTGGGTTCAAGTCTTGCGTTCGACACAGATACTGTACATCGGTAGGGTAAGGGCTAGGGATCGAGCCCCGGGGTCTTTATCTGCTACTGCAAAAAAGGTGAAAACCGTTTCACAACTCAAAGCAGCTACGGCTGGTTTCACTCAGGCTGCCGTGCCTGACTCTGCCTCGAAGCTTCTTGGTGTACCTCTACCCCATCGGGGCCCTCCAGATGCAGCACCCACCAAGGTGATGAAGATGGCGTCCACCAGAGCCAGGTAAATACCCCTCGCGCTCCCCCTTCCTAGTCCTCTTCTTCCTCCTCCTCCAGCCCGAGCTCCTCCACCATAGCCAAGGTAGAGAGCTGGGCACTCTTCCTCTTCCCCAGCGCTGGACTCAGCAGCGCTCCAACCAGCGCTCTAGCAGCATGACTCCAAACTTGCACACAGCAGATGAGAAGGAGCACTTTGCTCCTCCTGGAGATATAGCAGCCAACTTGCCTCTTGGGCGGTGACTTCCAGACTGCACGGCCTCCAAGCAACCGGTACCTCCTCCCTTTTGGAGGGAAACATCATTGCAAACTCTGATATTGCCCGGACAAGCCCAGGCCTAGACTGAGGCTACTTGGACTGGTACCCGCCTAGACCTGGCCTACAACTACTGGGCCTCTAAAAATGCCAACTTTTGTCTTCTTCTGCTCGGCCTCGAGTACCCGACACACCTACCGCTACTTGGTGTGGTACCGGCCTACCTGCTACTTGAGTGTTTTCCCCCTCTACTCTAAGTGTCGCGGGCGTATTCCGGCCACTCGAGTGTTTTATCCCCTGCAACCCTCAATGTCACAGCCACAGGTAAGTACCGGCCCTACGGGCCTCCCAAACAAGCAAGTACCCTTGCGGGTCACACACACACTCAAGCCGTCAAACACTCAGGCAGGCACGCAGACCAGCAAGCATGCACACACACACAAAGTTGGAAAACTCAGCAGAAAGCGGGAATCTCAGCAAGGCATTCATTCTTGCGGCAAAACTCAGAAATTTGTTGTGTTCTCAGTCCGTGCTTGGACATGTCCTTACACTACTCCCCCCTCAAGAGTGAGGTCCCTTCGAGCGAGTAACTCAATCCGCGTCCCTGAAAAACACATCATAAGCAAACGTTGCAAAGAGCTTCCATGAATGCTCAGTAGCAGTGACTTTTGCAGAGATTTTTGGAACAGCATCGGAAACTATATGTCGTTCGTATGCTCTAACAATGCAAGGGGCACTGTGCAGCAGTTCTTTCTTTGAGATCCAGAAGAGATCATCCACTGGGTGATGCATAAAGTGAACCTGGTACTGTCTTTTACGTCCCTCACCAGTGTGCTATATAATTCTATCCATCTCGTGACCACTATGAATTGCACGAGGGATCATGTTCTCATGGTATTTGAAGGATTTAGCTTCAAGATACGGAAACAGTTTAGACGCGTGAAAGACCGGGTACGTGCGCAGATGAGGAGGCACGACAATCACATATGATGGTCCAAACCCATTGTTGCCAACCACATCCAGGACCTCCCACGGACCGTGGTAGAGGGAGAAGTTTGCGTGACACCCCTCTTCTTCCAAAAATTCAGCCATCCTGACGTAGACATGACTTCCCACTTCGAAGGTCGATGGTCTGTGTTTCTTATTTGCATGATGGATCATGGCATGTTGTCGCTTAGTCATTGTTGCACTGGGAACTTTGAGTAAGCGATCGTACTTGGCACTGAAACCAAGCCTGCCACGGTTCAGACCAGCTGGTTGTTCAATGAATAAGTAGGAGAGTGGATTACATATCTTCCAACTGTAATGCAGCCTGTTTGGCGTCTGGAGGTGGAAAAATGAATGTCGTTGTTGAACAACCCCTTGACCTAATACAACTCTTCGTCCCAAGTTTAACGATCCGGAATAATTAAGGCACGGAGAAGCTATAGCACGGTCAGGTTGATCTCCTCTGCCAAACCGTTGGCTTCGGCATGTCGACCAGATCTCATCTTTAGTTTTAGACCAGGGCGTTGGGACGTGAAGTCTTTCCAATCAGCACTTACGAAGTGCGGGTCCCAATCACTTACAAGGGTTTTAAAGGTCTGGAACTGCAAAATGCACTTTTGGTGAAACTCACAGATCAGAAGGTCAGTTGGGACATGGGGTGGTAGTGGGATCAGACTTAGGAATTTGGAAGAGCAGTGTCGAGCACATCGGTCCCACAAGGGGACCCTCCCGCCTGAGTCACGCAGGATTTTGCAGGGCTTGTCATGGAGAGTGTTTGTCGCTCCGGTCGAGTGTGTCAGTCGTACATCTTGCGAGCCCCTATGACAGCATAGGGCCACACAAGGCACAACTTACCTCCACCCGCAGGAGCTGTCACCATCCCTTAGGTGGGCGTATCCGCGTCGATCTACCGAATCACATGCGAAGGCTTTCCATATGCAACTGCAGAGGTGGCCCTACTGAGGGCATTTCTCGTTCGTTGTAGCATAGGGGGCATGTGCGGTTAACGCCTGAATCGGGCCCACATGCGAATCGTCGCACGAGGCATTGATCTTTCGAACACGATCCTACGCTAGTTGACTAGGACGACCATCTTAACCGAGCAATACACTATTCAACTAAAATTCAAGTCTACTTACAATATCTCACTTAATCTCTTTTTCCGCTTGACTTGTAACTGTTCTCGTGCTTGAGCATAAAAGTGTCGCATGCAAAAATCTGCACAAATAATCGTCGTTTCGCAAAGCTCTATCATAATGACTAGTCATGCGCGAATACGTGAGCAGTCGCATTGATGGAGTACTATGTCGTGCCCATAAACATGCGATCCCCTCTAAATCGTGGGATTGCATTCGACGCTCGGGTATCAGTTGACGTGAGCACAAAAGGGTCAGTCCTTTAGCGAGCGCGAAAGCGGACCGAACACCCTACCATCTTCTGCACCCTACTGTGGCCCAAATGGGGTAGGGTAGGATGGCACTGGGTAGAAGGGAACTTGGAGTGATGGTGAGTTGTCTGGCGCACCACCAGCAACATGGTAACCCTTCTACCCGGAACCC